CACTGCTCCCCTGTGATCCCTGACCTCACTCCAGGGGGTGAGCACTTCCAGAGACTAGAGCTTCTGGAAACTAGAGGGCACCACATACAAATATGAGATGTCAAAGGAACCTGGTTCAGACAAAATTCTCACAAACACCAGAAAAAGGACCAAATGAAACTGAACTCACCAATCTTCCTGAAAGAGAGTTGAAAATAAAAATCATAAACATGATCATGGAGGTACAGAAAAATATTCAAGAACTCAGGGATGAATTTAGTATGGAGATTCAATCATTAAGAAATTTCATATCTGAAATGCAACATACAATGGAGCGATTTAAAAGCAGATGAGATGTAGTAAAAGAGACAGTAAATGGAATATAAATTAGAAAAGAAAAATAAAAGAAGCTGAGGAACAGAGAGAAAAAAGGATCTCTGAGAATGAAAGAATATTGAGAGAACTGTGTGACCAATACAAATGGAACAATATTTGTATTATAGGGGTACCAGAAGAAGAAGAGAGAAAAAAGAGGTAGAAAGTATCATTGAGGAGGTAATTGCTGAAAACTTCCCCAATCTGGGGAAGGAGATAGTCTCTCAGGCCATGGAGGTACACAGATCTCCCAACACAAGGGACCCAAGGAAGATACCACCAAGACATATAATAATTAAAATGGCAAAGACCAAGGATAAGGACAGACTTTTACAAGCAGCTAGATAGAGATAAAAGATCACATACAAAGGAAAACCCATCAGGCTATCATGAGATTTCTCAACAGAAACCTTACAGGCCAGAAGGGAGTGGCATGATATATTTAATGCAATCAAACAGAAGGACCTCGAACCAAGAGTACTCTATCCGGCAAGGTTATCATTTAAATTTGAAGGATGGATTAAACAATTTTCAGATAAGCAAAAGCTGAGAGAATTTACCTCCCACAAACCACCTCTACAGTGCATTTTGGAGGGACTGCTATAGATGGAAGTATTCCTAAGGCTAAATAGCTGTCACCAGGGGAAATAAAATCACAGCAAAGTAAAACAATTAATTACTAAACAGATGCAAAATCAAATCAACTACCCCCAAAGTCAATCAAGGGATAGACAAAGAGTACAGAATATGATACCTAATATAGAAAGAATGGAGGAGGAAGAAAAAGGAAGAAAAAAATAAAAAGAACCTTTAGATTGTGTATGTAATAGCATACTAAGTTAAATTAGACTGTTAGATATTAAGGGAATTACCCTTGAACCTTTGGTAAAAAACAAATCTAAAGCCTACAATGGCAATAAGTACATACCTATTGATAATCACCCTAAATGTAAAATGTCTGAATGCACCAATCAAAAGACATAGAGTCACTGAATGGATTAAAAAACAAGACCCATCTATATGCTGCCTATAAGAGACTCACCTCAAACCCAAAGACACACACAGACTGAAAGTAAAGGGTTGGAAAAAGATATTTCATGCAACTAATAGGAAGAAAAAAGCAGAAGCTGCAGTACTTGTATCAGACAAAATAGATTTCAAAACAAAGAAAGTAGTGAGACAAAAAAGGAAATTACATAATGATTAAGGGGTCAGTCCAACAAGAGGATATAACCATTATAAATATCTATACACCCAACACAGGATCACCTACATATGTGAAACAACTACTAACAGAATTAAAGGGGGAAATAGAATGCAATGCACTTTAGGAGACTTCAGCACACCACTTACTCCAAAGGACAGACCAACCAGACAGAAAATAAGTAAGAAGACAGAGGCATTGAACAACACATTAGAACAGATGAACCTAACGCATGTCTACAGAACACTCCATCCAAAAGCAACAGGATTCACATTTTTTTCAAGTGCACATGGAACATTTTCAAGAATAGGTCATATACTAGGCCACAAAAAGTAATTTCAAGAAGATTGAAATTGTGTCAACCAGTTTTTCAGATCACAAAGGTATGAAACTAGAAATAAATTACACAAAGAAAACAAAAAATTCCACAAACACACGGAGGCTTAACAACACACTCCTAAATAATCAATGAATCAATGGCAATAAAAACAAAGAACAAGCAATATATGGAGACAAATGACAACAATAATTCAACACTGCAAAATCTGTGGGATGCAGCAAAGGCCATGCTAAGAGGGAAGTATATTGCAATGCAGGCATACCTCAGGAAGGAAGAACAATCCCATATGAACAGTCTAAAGTCACAATTAATGAAACTAGAAAAAAGGAGAACAAATTAGGCCCAAAGTCAGTAGAAGGAGGGACAAAATAAAGATAAAAGCATGAATAAATAAAACCAAGAGGAATAAAACAATAGAAAGAATCAATGAAAGCAGGAGCTGATTCTTCAAGAAAATAAACAATATAGATAACCCCCTAGCCAGATTTATCAAGAAAAAAGAGAGTCTACACACATAAACATAATCAGAAATGAGAAAGGAAAAATCACTACAGACACCAAAGAAATACAAATAATTAATAGAGTCAGTATAACACAGAAAAGACAAGTAGTGACTCTATAGCATCTTACTATGCTGATGGACAGTGACTGTAATGGGGTATGTTGGGGGGACTGAATAATGGGAGGAATCTGGTAACCACAATGTTGCTCATGTAATTGTATATTAATGATACCAAAAGAAAAAAATTTAATTAAACACCATTTATTCTGCATCATCTTGGATAAGCTTTCAAACTGTACCATGAATTGGTACCAGCAGCTTCCCCAGGCCATGGCAATGAAGCCGGCTGAGAGCTGAAATTGTGTTGGGCTCTCCTCCTGCCACTAACGTGAAGACAGAGACGTGAACTGATTTGGTGCCTCCTAAGCATCAGGCCCTGAGTTGGGTGCATCACTTACACCACTTCCTTTAGCCCCAGGACAAGTTGGTGACTGCATGTTGCCACCCTCCAGCTTCCAGGAAGGATCCCAGGCTCTGCCTGCTCAATCCACACACATGCACTGCCCCTCTCACAAGTCCACACTCTCTCCTGGACCACTGTGCCCACCGCCTGCTGACCCAACCACGGGGACAGTGGCCTCTCACATTTGCTCTTTCACTACTTGTTTTTGTGTGCAGACAGCATCGTGAATCTCAGATCTCTGCGCCCATGATCTGGTTGGTCTGTATGAGCCACCAGGCAGGGTGGGTGTGTCCACCCCACACTGCTCTGTCCAGACTCTGGTTCTGATCCACAGTATTTCCACCCAGATATTGAGTCTGGGTCCATGAGCTCCAGTTTCAAGGGAGCATTATTTCTACCCTGGCATTCTGCCAACTTGTCAGCCCTGCAAGCAAACAGAGCTTCCCACTGTCTCTTGGAGAGTTCCAGACCCTCAGGCCCCTGTTTTATGGATCCTTTCAGGTATTCTTATGGCTCTGACCTCTAAACACCTTTCAGGCCAAGAGTAGAAGCCCCCAGAACAGCACACCATTAATGTCGGGAAAGCCAGGCAAAGCTCTAACCACTCATTTGCCCCAGTGGCACTTAATGATCCTGGAGGAATCACGGAAAAATGAAATTTAATGGTGCAGTGATTGTAACCACAGGAGGTTATTATGAATACCTCAAAATACAAGCAGTTATTATCCAAATTGGAACATTAAAAGTTAACATTCCAAATTCCACACTATCTGGTGTATTAATGAGAGCAATATAGGCAGAGAAAACATAAGTCTATATCTTTAACAAACATCTTCACTTTTAAATATAGAATAATTAAATTTAGGGAAGAGATTGGTAGAGAACTAGTTTTATGAAGATAAAATCAATATGGATCATTAAAAATGAAACCCCTCAAGAAATTACTCATATAATGCAGAAACCTCTGCATGAACACATCTTTGCTTGTCATTGAAATAGAGAATGAAAATATAAATGCAGCCCAATGCCATATTTCCATCAGAACTCTGTTGAAGTTTTGCTATGTTACATTTTCTTTATAATATAAATCACCTGGTAGGTGTAGCCATTAAATATCTTGGTAAATAATGCAGCACTTATTCAAATATTCAGAACAGTTGTGCAAATCATTTAAGAAATGTTTTCATCTGCAGTTGAAGCTACCGTCAGCATTCCTGAAGTTTCCATTGTTTCATGAGTCCTACTGATTGCCCTTCACTAAGACATTCTTTGGGGCTCAAAGGATATAAAAACAAAAATAATTCCTTACACTTGGAAAGACTTATAATGTATACATCTCACATCTTGTTTTACCTTCCTGCCGTTATCAGCCACGTGCATCTTCCTTTGCACACACCCTTCACCCCACCTCCCTTGGTCCTGACAAACTCCTTGAGCACGAGTTGGCTCAGACACCAATCTAGATTTCTGACTCCTGTCCTGAGTCCTCCATACAAAGCCCTTTTCTCCTCTGGCCATCTCACCTGCCCTGTTCTTCCCTCTGTGAGCCCCTCTTGCCACCTGTACCATCTGGTGATTTGCCGCAAATCTTCCTATACAAGACCATAGTCAAGATGGTAGGTCTGGGTCATACCCCTATGAATCCTCCTGCCTAGCAAGGGACCTGGCAGGTTGTAGACCTTCACCAAAGGTTTGAGGATGGAAGATGGATGAGTGGATGTACAACCCAGCAAGTTTCATAATCATCTTTAATTTGGGAATGAGGATTCAGAATTGGAGTGCTTAATGAAAGGTGGGATGAAGAATAAATCATAAAATGTTAGGTTTGACTGCATTTTTAATTTTAATTTTCTGTGGTTTTCTGCAACTCTAGAGTAAATATATTTTATTTCTGATTTAAAGTATATAATGTTAAATATGCAATGAATAAATACACATAAATAAAGTTTCAGGGTGGGATAGTGTTCAACCTAGTCTAGACCATGAGTCTTCTGGGTTCTCACTCTATCATATGTTTCTACTGCTAAGTAGACATTAGCTTTATATCAACTGTTTTCCCATCAATGTTTCAGTGATATTTTATCATAGATGCATGGAGTATTTGTTAGACAAATGACCATTTTTCCCTTCCCTTTAGGATATCTGTAAAGCCCTATGGTGCCACCGGATTGGAAGGAAATGTGAGACTAAGTTCATGCCAGCAGCAGAAGGCACTATTTGTGGGCATGACATGGTAAGAAGCTAATCTTAGGTACATGTACTGTATTCAGTGGCAGCATCTGTCAGCCCCTGCATCCTTTCTCCTCTTGCATCAGTGTTTTTAAGCCCATCTTTCTCATCTACCTGTGCATCCCTACACTCATATCAAAAGACTCTGTTTAACTTATATTGATATCAATATTTTCCAGTGATTTATCAGATATTAATATTTTCCAATGATTTAATTGATAAACTATGTGGAATTTATAGACATAGCTGTCAGGCAACAGGTGATGACTGGGTCTACTTAATAAGGGGAAACATTAAACCCTTGAGTACATTGTAACCATGGAAAGAATCAACATTGGGTAGCACTGTTAAAGCCACAGAGCATAGGTTTGAAGACCCTGGGGGAAAGAATTTTGACACCCTGTTTCTCTGGTGTAAAAAGAGAAAACTATGTATGGTAGGGGCAAGAAACACACAAGATAGCAAGCTCATTATTAAGTGGTAAACAATGTTAATTTTGTCATTGAAACTTAAAAAATAAATTATCTTAATATTCAAGGGTAATATTTTGATCCTTTTGATTTAACCTGTGATTGCAATGTTTGTTTTTCAAAATAGAAGACTAGTGTGAAAAAGATAGAGATATACAGGACCCAAATTATCTTTATAGCCATTTGCACTCTATGCATATGATGGTTTTAGCAATATTAATGAATATGAAACTTATGCCAAATACCATTGTAAATTCCAAAGGAAATATGTCACACTCCATATACACATAAATGTGAGCACAGGTAGGAAGGATTTAAAATATTAATAAACAATTCTAACATGTATCAGATTATGTTATTGCAATGTTGGCTGAGGAAATGAAGAGAAACAGACAAAACTCACCTGAGAATAGCCCCCAGCAGCCCCTCGTGCTATCCATGCTAATGTGCTTGATTTTCAGCCCCTGAGAGAGGGTGGGATTGATAGTTAAGTCCTTCTAGTGGTGCAGTAGTGAGATTAATCCGTAGCAAGAAAGTCTAATAAAAATGCATTTAGTTTCATGAAAGAGAAAATGAATAAACCGAGATGCTGAAAAATCTGTTGTCAGAGACACCAGGGGATTAACCTGAGTATCAGCTGCAGGTGATCATGATTTTTCTGCAGAGTTGATTAAAATTTATTTGTCAGGCCATAGTTTGCAAAGTTATGCCTGTTTCTTGGAAGACTGGCAGCCCCACACTGTTGCTTTTGAGGCATTGTTCACACAGACGTGTGGGGGTTCTCCATGCACCTGCTTTCCTTATGGTCTTAAGCTTTGGTTTTCTCCTGGGAGATTGTATGGTTGTGGTGCTTCCTCAAAATATTCCATATATTCTTGCTACAATTTATTTACCTTGCAAGCACAGTTCAAGTGAATTTCATTGGTGTTTTAACATTTTTTCCCTTGTGTTTCTAAATATAGCTTTTCCTTCATATTGGGAAGAATTAGGACATGCTAAGCCAGGATGGGTGCCTACAATCATGCAGCAATAAAGTGACCTTTCCCAGGTCCCACGGCTGCCCAGTGGCCACAGTGGGGCGAGCGCTGGGGCTCCTGTAAAAGCTCCCTTTGGTGTCCATTGTGTGTCATGTATTGTTGGTTCGCATGTGTCTGTGAGGTTTGTCGATTTGGAAGCAAGTGCTGGCAGAAGTCAGGGCCTCCGTACCTCGGGATATTCCAGAGCAGTGGGTGACCCAGATGACTGGCAAGGGCCTCACTGTGTCTGTGCACTCTTCTGCATGGAGACCCACCTCTCCTCACCTTGCCAGGCTTGGTGGTCATGCCTGTACAAACCTGACTAATGTTTATTAATTTAATATTATATATTAGCAAGCACTATACTTAGTAAATTATACACATTTAATACTCACAACTGCCCTGTGAGCATCAGCCTATTGCAGTCCCTTCATCCACTCGAGAGCTTTTCCAGGAAGGGGACACTGGGCTGCCCTGTGCTCATGCTAGGAGAAACCCAGCCCAGGTGTCAGGACCCCTGCCTAGATGTGTCCCAAAGCAGGCTCTGGGTCTTTAATAATCGTAGGTCCCTAGTGTGAATCAGGCCATCTCTCCCTTTGGAATCATATCGCACATGGTGGGAGACACTTCTCCGGTGTCATTACGTTGAATCTCTTGAACAGTGCAGTCTGGAAGTCTCCGTCAGACCTGGTGTTCACGGGAGGACACGGAGGCTCAAAGTCGCACAGCTGGAGGAACTGATGCTGCGACTCATTTCACTCCACAGTGTCCACTTTTGCGTAGCATCGGCTGCTGCCCTGTAGGCACTGGGTTCAGGTGTGACATGCGGATTCTGTGGACAGGAGCATAGCAGGAAGGTACTGCTCACTATGACCTCTTGCTTTCTAAGACAAAACCTTCCCCCACAAGCCATACTCCCCATCAGCAAACATAAGACTGTGACCAACATGGGACAGCCCTCAGAAACTTGGGTAGTATTTCAATGAAAACTTTATATGTGCATTGAACACAGGGTTCATACCCCCAAATTACTCACAGATAGGCTGCACAAGTCTGTAGCCTGTGTGAAATTATACTCTGTGTGTGCATGTGTGTTTGTGTTTGTGTCTGAATGCACCCGTGTATCCCCGCAACCTACTTGGGAGATGGTAGAGTGTTTTGTCTGCACATTCTCCATAAGCTTTTTGAAGATGAAAAGTCAGTCATTTACAGGTACTTTGGCAAAAATAGCAAAAGATGCATTTGCAAGTCTGTTAATTGCAGCAGTAATGGTCATGGTCATAGCCAAAGACTGGAAATGATATAGAGGTCCATGGAGAAGGGACTGGTTGAAAACCCCTCATGGGAAGTTATGTAAGGCAGAAGGAGTGCCAGGTGTCTGCACATTTCTGTGGGTGACCCACAAAATAATGGTTAAATGGAAAAGCAGGATGGAAAGAAAACTGTGTAGTGTGCTATCATTTATTAAAGAAAAGGAAATACTGCACTATATAATTATTTTCTTACAAAATAAGGAAATAGGCCCTAAATTTTGAAAAATAGTGTAAACATTTTGTGTGACTTTAAAAGAAAAACTAAATTGTATTAAAGTAATCCCTAAATAGCAAAAGCAAAGTTAAACAATTTAACCTAAGTATGTATCAAGTTGCTGACTTGTAATCATAACAAAGGAATTATTTCAAGTACCTTTAACACCAGGCACTATTTTATGAGTTAGTCCCCATGATTCTTGCTTTCATATCTGCTGTTCCCTTTTTGGAAAAGCTCTGACATGATTTAATACAACTGGGACAAAACCCCATGAAACCCCTGGCTTCTCCCTCCTCCTCCGGGGTCCTGCCCACAGCCACCAGGGCTGGCTGCCCCTGCCAGTCCTCGACTGTGACTCACGAGGCCACGTGCCCCTTGTTGAGCTGAGAGGGGACAGGGCACCTTGGCACTTGGTTCTGTCCCTTGGGGTGAGGTAAGGAAGGAGACAACTGTTTTATTTATAGGAAAGAATCAAAGAACCGAATGGGTGAGGCTTTGATTCTCAAATTACTTTTCTTTAAATTCAGTTTTTCTTCCTTAAATAATATTAAATCAAACAATTTGTTTTGCCATTTCTGTGTAGCAATGGTGGTCAAATATTTGCAATCTGACATGTTTTAACTGAACATACCAGCTGGTAACTGAAGTATTGCTATTTTCCTCTGAAAAAAGCACATTTTTTTCTCTCAAAACAAATCTGGTGGCTCTAACCATGGAAACAGAAGGAGCAGATGTCACCCCACCCTCTCCCCCAGGCCAAGACTGCGCTCTGCAGCTCCACCCAGGCCAGGGACAAGGGACAAGAAATTTCCTTTTCTCCTCTCAACAGATGGCTAGGGTCTCCAAGATCCGTGAGGTCTACCCCAAACCAAAAGCGGGGTAGCAGTGCCCTGGAGCTCAATGGTAGATCTTGTGTGACCTTCGTGTGCGATGGCAGGGCAGAGCCCACATGGGTTTAGCGTGAATTAACACCAATGAGCCCCTCGTTTGAGGAAGGGGCGCTGACAGCATCTCCAGCCTTGCAGGGACAGGTGGAGCTCTGTGGGTGTTTCATCTCCTCGGAAACCTGCGTGACCTCTGACACATGTCAGTTAATAACCTCCGGACTCCGAGCCCAGCTGCTTTGGCCGAGGCACAGAGCACTGGCCAGAAATGACAAGGTGTTGAGTCGTGTGGAACATCCAGCTGGACTTCTCTACCTGAGACTCAGTCTGCTCCCAAAATGAGATGTGAAAAGCACTTTGTTTCCAGGAGAGGTTAGAGGTCATACGTCAAATACTGAACAGTCGGGCTGAACGTTTGTGCAGCGCGGCTTAATTAAACATGTGAAGTTCCAACAACTGAGATGTTAGAAAATGATTTTTCTGTGTATCTTCCCTTGGTGTGGATTTATAGAATGAGGCTAGGCTTGGAAAGGAAAAGAAACAGCTTTAATTTTACTGTGTTCTATGCTACCTGAGGGTAGGATGCTGACATCTGCGTGTTTTACCAAACTGCACGTGTCTGAGGTTTGCAATAGTGATGAACCCACCCATCCATCCATGAGTCGTATCAACTTTCATTATTTTTAACTTTTAGTGGTGCCGTGGAGGACAGTGTGTGAAATATGGCGATGAAGGCCCCAAGCCCACACACGGCCACTGGTCAGACTGGTCGCCCTGGTCCCCGTGCTCCCGGACCTGTGGAGGTGGTGTGTCCCACAGAGACCGCCTGTGCACAAACCCCAAGTAAGCATACCTTGACTCCCCTCCACATGTAGGAGCCATTTCTCTGCTGCCACCCTTCTGAGTAGCATGGGTACCAAGCTCAGTAATATTCTGTACATCACATACTGTAAGAAATACTAAGTGGGGAAGCTGTTTTACTCAAGCATTTCTTAAACACTATCTCTGACAGAATTTAAGATGTTTATACCTATCTGACCATAGCAAAAGGGAACAGACCCAACGGTGATATTCAGGAAGTAGATTTTAACCACACTTCATGAAATATGAAGGGTCTGATTCAAATAAGTAAACAAATCATGAGAAAAGTATAGAGAACACAAATGAATAAGAATCAATAAGCTCCATTCTTTCACGTGAAAGAAAACAAATGTTTGTTTTTTCATCAAATATGTTCACCTTTGCAGCACATGGTCTGCCTGGGGCCACCTGTGAGACAGCAGGAACCCTGAAAGCAGTCACCGGTGCCAGGGTTCTCAAGTCCTCCTTCTGCACCTACACCTCTTTAAGACCTGATACATCCCAGTCCTGTCTTTACTGCATGACACCCAGTAGGTCCCCAGCACGGGCAGGATACCCTCGATCTGGTGTGTCCACATGAACCCTAGGCACGAGCAGGGGGTGTTTGCTGTCAACACCAGCCATGGAAGGCCCAGTTCTTCTGACCCAATCTCGTGTCCTGGCCTTGTTGCAGGGAAGCTGCAGTGGACAAAAGTCGCCATCTGCAGAGCAAAGTACTTGAATTTCAGTCTCCGTTCAACTTTCTATCAATTGTGCAGTCCTGCCGCCCACCCTGCGCTGTCCCCTCTGGAGTGCAGAGAACAGCCACACTTACCCTGCCCTCTGCAGGGAGCGCTGGGAGGTTCAGGGAGCAAGTACACACAGCCCACTCCCCACTGTCCAGCCCATTCCACCAACAGTGTAAATACTCAGTGGATAAGAACAACACTACTGGTATTGCCTGTGTGTTAAGAATATGCCAGTGTCCACTTAGGATAGTGCTTCCCTTCACTGGTTGCTGTGACTTAATTCATCATCCACCCCTTCTCTCCAATAAGCCCGATTTCAAGGAAGAGGCAAATAACTATTCAAGTGTAAGTTTTCTAACTGTGAATTGCCCTTTTCAGACCGTCACACGGAGGGAAGTTTTGCGTGGGCTCTGCACGCATGCTGAAGCTCTGCAACAGCCAGGCCTGTCCCCAGGGCAGTGCTGACTTCCGTGCCCTGCAGTGCGCCGAGTACAACAGCCACCGCTTCCGGGGATGGCACTACAAGTGGAAGCCTTACACACAAGTGGCAGGTAACTGTCTACCTGCTTCTTTACCCACAGCCCCACCGCCATTACCTTTCCTTAATGAGTTTCTGATGGACAGTGTGGTGCCCAGACAGGCCACACTGCTGTGTGGGCTCATCATCACAGATGCTTTCCTGGGGCTAGTTTGACTCTCCCTGTCCCATGGCCACTGGCCTCTTATCTACACTTGACCAGCTATGTGCTCAGAAACTAAGAAGCAAGACGGAGAGTGGGCATCATACACCAACACCTTCAAAGAAGCAATAAAAATTCAAAGTAAATGATTTATTGATAATGGATCAATGCTTTTTTCATTGCAAATCATAGTCATTGATGATAGCATTGCCATAAGCATGTCACCGTTGAACACATAACTGTCAGAGAAACAAAGAAAGATGTTAGTGTCTTTTGAAAAATCAGATAATTTTCAAGCATACTATATTTGGAAAATCTTGATATCACTATAAACCAAGAAGCTTCTTTTTGTCATACGTAACATTTCACTGCCCACTTGGAGACAAATACACATTATCCTCATGATGCAATCACTTCAGCTTGGTAGCTCAAGTGGCATAATTTAAAGAAAAATTCAAAGAACAACAAACCATCTCATTCTTTGTAACTGTGACTATCGTCCAAGCAACACTTGGGAATACATAAATTGGGCGATTTCATATGATATTTATTTTCCCCATCCCAGTCTATGTAATGTTTTCTTGGTGAGAGCTTTGTGAGCTTAGTAAATTCTGGAAGGAAATTTGCAAGCAGTCTTGCACAAAGCATTTTTGGTTGTGTTTTTACTCCTAAACTCAGTAAAGATTAAGCCAGAGAGAATCAAGGAGGAAGGAGAAAAAAGTAGAACAGATTTTGAAATTTTGGTCCAAAAATATGCATGGTACACCTGACTTTGCTAGTCATCAGTAAATAAATTTATTAATCATAGAATCACATGCTAAATTTGATTCCTAGAGTTATTCAGCTGGGTCTCATCTTACATAATAAAGAAAATATTTAGAAATGAGTCCTGAGCCTGTGAAAACTCCTGAGGCAGAAAAATTTTCATCATTGACTCTTTCCTTCTTTATGAAGAAGACAACAAAGGGAAAGAATTTTTCTACCAAAGTTCATATGAATGACATGAATCATAAACCCTTGAAATGTATTATTAGAGAAGAAATGAACTTGATCTGCCAATCTTAAGTGCGTAATGATTCATACTCTTTTCCATGTGTCAGTATTTTTGATAATCCATTATATTTATAGAAAGCATTGTTCTCTGGAGATTTCATCTAAAAGTCATTCCCTTTATCAATTTAAAGATATTAGTTATTTTATCCAATGCATTAGCTATTAAGAAATGTGATTATTTTAATTATTTTATTATGTCTTATTTGCAAGCATTTTATATATTGCTCCTAAGTAGTAGTGATTTTTTGCATTTCTACAAGAGCAGTTATTAATTCTACTAGTAAAACAATCGAAAAATAATGTTGCAGTTCAAGTCAACAAATATTTATTGAATGCCTACTATGTGCCAACCACTGCATAGAGGACGAGGACCAGTAAGGGACACTATAGAGTAAAAATTAATAGTAAAGCTTTAGAAAAATTAAAGGGGAAAATACCCAAGCTTAATGACAACCATAAAAAATGTCTTTGCAAAAATGTATTATTGTGTTTTATGGGAGTTGTTTTATGGGCAAAGAATTATTTTAAATTTATCTAAATCTTAGAGCAAAAATGATCAGAGCTTAAGTATCTTTCTTATTTGTGTTTGTGTGTGTATTTCTTTTTAAGATCAGGACTTATGCAAACTCTACTGTATCGCAGAAGGATTTGATTTCTTCTTTTCTTTGTCAAATAAAGTCAAAGATGGGACTCCATGCTCGGAGGATAGCCGTAATGTTTGTATAGATGGGATATGTGAGGTAATAATGATCGTTCATTCATTCAACAAACATCCCCAGACAGTCTGCTTTGTGCCAGGCATCCTCTAAGGGCTAGAGAGACCAGACACTTAACACATGCCCTTTCCCTTCAAGTCATGGCCCAGTGGGGGAGAAAGCCCGACACACACATTCTGGGACACAGAGACCTGTTGTGGTGCAGGTGTGCACAGAGCACGGAGAGCGGGGGCAAGCCAGCATTCTTTCAGATGCAACTCTGGGGGATTTGCGAGCTTCCTTGGAGAAGGGAGCTTCCCAGCCAGACCTGAAAGGGTGAGTTGGGAAGGGTGTGGGGGCCGCAGTCAGGGGAGCTGGCAGTGCAGGAAAGGGTGAACTTGTAGGAGCTGACTCCATCGTCCCTGCCCAGAGGGCGCCAGGGGCTGGGGGACACAGATGGAGGGGAGGGGGCGAGAAGCCATGCTCAGAGGGTTTCCTCTCTTGTCCGTGTAGAACAGGCTCAGGGGTGGGAGCAAGCGGTGTTGTAGAGTCAGTCTGCAGCCGCTGGGCAGTAGCTTAGGGAGTAAATGAATCAGGGCCAGCTTTGAGCCTGGAGGCCACTGTGCATCCCTGCAGGGGTCTCTTCTGTTGAGGGAGGCAGCAGACAAACTGGGAAAGGTCTGGCAGGTAAGCGAACTTAAAGCTCCGAGCTTGCCACCATGTGCAGCATGAGATACAGCAAGAATTTTATTATCAACAAGGCAAAGGTGCTACCAGATTAAATGCATTACAGGTGAACACTGGGTGTTTCAGTGTAGTTACTCAGCATGTGTTATTCACGGAATCCAGGGGCCTCGGCTTAGTGTTCGTTTTCTGTACATTGTATGACCGCGGTCAAGGGGCATCATCCCTAGGACCCTAAGGGCACCTGTCTTTAATGCATGAAGATTAAACAAGATGACTCTGTTGAGATCTTTCAGTTTTAAGATCTCAAATTCCTACCCATTTTGTCTAATTACTAGTTGACTTGTTAAGTACTTTATTATTTTTAGGTATTCTTAAGGGGACAATGCCATAATCCCTTATTAACAATTCTGAAATCCAAAAAGCCATGAAATGAAAATTTTACTTGGCTGCAAAAACATCAACTGACCTGAATTTGTTTGGCGGCACAAACCTGCCCTACTGTGATATGAAACTATTTGTCACTTTTATTTATCCCGCTTAGTATGAAAATGTGTGTATGTTTTACTGTCGAAACATAATTGATGTGTTTCATTACGGGTGCTACCGTACACCCTGCCGGGACTCTCACATTATATGCATAATATGTTAACTACTTTCCTAAAATCCAAGAAATAGTCTTAGTTTTGAAATGTATCTGCCCCTCAGGATTTCAAGTGAGGGATTGGAGACTGTAGTTATTCCATTTCTGAATATATTTAACTCTTTGTTAGGAAATGTAAAACTAGCAAGCATCACAGAAATTATGAAGAATTCCAAAAATTCCAAGCCAGTAAACAAACAAGACTTTTACAGAATTTATTGCTGGGAATAATTTCTATGTGGCACATGCTACTTCTTTGCCATTACACAAGGTGATTCAAAAGCACAATGGCACATAGCACAGGACCTTCAAGGGGACACACTGCTTCTCATTTATACTAAGAGCTTTATGTCAGTCTGCAATTTACCATTCTCGCCAACATGACAAACTGATAGATTTAATTTAGTGCTCATACTCCAGTCGTGTAGCATTGCTACAGAGAGCTGCTTCTCCTTCACACTTAAACGTTTCCTACTCTGGAGCTGAGAAGTAGAATTACAGTCTTGCTGTGCACATATTGGGTATGCAATAAATATCTGTTAACTCCCCTGTGTTGGTGCAATTTTCAGCTGGGGAGACAGTTTCTTGCTTGAGGTTTGTGACTGTGCCTGTGTCATCTTTTCTTTCATGAATGATGTGTGACCTCGTGGGTCCCCCAGAAAGTTGGATGTGACAATATCCTTGGATCTGATGCTGTTGAAGACTTGTGTGGTGTGTGCAAGGGAAACAACTCAGACTGCATGACACACAAGGGCCTCTACGCCAAGCACCATCACACCAACCGTGAGTACACATGAGCCACCTGCAGGGGCCCAGCGAAGACTTCATCTGGGGCTTCTTGGTGGGGAGGGCTTGTGTGGAGAGAGCAGCTGGCAGGTAGAATCTCTTTCCCTTCTTTGCTCCTTGAGGCTTTATTTTGATTGGAAGTGGTTGCTAGGCTCTTTGAGTTAGAATGGTTCTTAGAAATATTAGAAATTATAATAGCTCAGCTCCAATTAAAAAAATAAAAGTCCTTTATAGCACCAATGTCACTGATTGCCAAAACAGATCTCCCAATTCCAAACGTGGATTCTCGGGTCTGGTTATGAAGAAACAGAGGTGCCTAGGGACTTTGTGTCAGCATCTTTATGGAATGGGAGCCTCACCCCCTCCCCTGCTGCCTCTACTCTAGAGTATTATCAGATGCTCACCATTCCCCCGGGAGCCCGGAGTATTCGCATCTACGAAATGAACATCTCTACCTCCTACATTTCTGCGCGCAATGCCCTCCGAAGGTACTACCTGAATGGACACTGGGCTGTGGACTGGCCTGGACGATACAAGTTTTCAGGCACCACCTTCGACTACAGACGGTCCTACAAAGAGCCAGAGAGCTTGACCTCTGCCGGACCAACCAACGAAACACTGATCGTGGAGGTAGATGCCAGCCTCTTGGTACCAGGGCTGGGATTTGGGGGGCTCGGGGCTGGAAAGGAGTGCAGCTGGTTAGGCACTGTTCTGGAAGGAAGAAGAGTTGAAAAGGCTCTGACTGCCAGGAGGGAGAGTGCATGGATGGCCCTTCAGTGCAGCCAGCTGTCCAGGACCTGACCCTGTCCTACGGCACCTGCACCACCTAGGCCTTTATCTATGTTGTCTGGGAGGGGAATATGGTGCCAGGAAGTCAGGGAAGGTCAGGTGCCTTTATCTGCTGGGGCATCACATGAGGGGCCAGGAATGGCCTCAAGGCTCAGAGATGAGATTTCTATCAACAGGTTAAACAGCCTTCTCACCCAGATCAGTAGGCCTGACCCATTCATGAAGGAAAAGGTAACCGCTCCATCTGAGCCAGGCTAGGATGTGAAGAACCCTCTGGCATGTCTGCTCTCAGCTGTGGCTCACAGCTACAGTCAACCTGAGAGGTGACCTTTACAAGGAAGGCATTTCTCTCCAGAACCACAGTAGTGCCAGTAGCCTGAAGCCCTCCACATCCCATCACAGCAGGGAGTCCTCTGACATAGCTTCGCCCATGCGTGGATGAGGACCACCCGAGTGTCCTGGGTTGTTTGGGACTCAGTGGGAAGTGTCACTGTGCTTTTGAGGCATCGCTTTCTGGTTCGCTCAGAGGGAGAGGATTTGCAGGGATGCCAAGGAAACACTGAGGGAAATAATCACATCCGTGTGTCAGCTTGCAAAGGCATTTGGGGCTCTATGTGGAGGAATGCCCTGATGGACGGCAAGGGATGTGGACGTCTGCCCATTCTCTTGATGTGCTTGAGTCTAGTGGAGAGTTGATTCCTGTTTGGAAAGTTAATGTAATTTTTCAGGAATGGACCATGTTTATTTCATTACAACTAAGTTTTTGTTGTTATTATTGTTGTTTCTAGTCACTTAAAACAAATTAGCTGATGCTGACGGGATCCTTGCCAGCTTGTTAAAGTCTTTCCCTTTGCTGTTTTGCAGCTGCTGTTTCAGGGAAGGAACCCAGGCATTGCCTGGGAATACTCGCTGCCTCGGCTGGGCAGTGAGAAGCAGCCCAGCACCCAGCCCAGCTATACATGGGCCGTCGTCCGCTCCCAGTGCTCTGTGTCCTGTGGAGGGGGTAGGTCCCTGGTCACGTGTCTCCTGGGGGCCGGGGGGTGCTGGCCTACCTCTGGGCCATGGAGCACATTACACACAATAGCCGTCAGGATGTCCTCCTGGGCAGCCCGGGACTTCTGCCTGGGGGTGGCAGTGTAGGAGCAGTGGCCCTGGGTGGCCTTGAAAGCCTGGACCACCTTCTCCCATTGATCCGTGTCAGCATGTGGCTTTGACAGACTTGGTCAATGAGTTGGTCTCTGCTTTTCCTCTACTTTAAGGTTTTTTAAAGGTAGTTTTGCTATTTGAAATAATTCAAGTGAAAGTCACTCAAATTATTATGTATATTATGCTGGTGATGAGAAATAGGAGCTTGCATGAAAAAATGTAGTAATACAGAATGAAATTTTTTATCAAATGGTCTTGTTCAAAAAATTTACTGGGGAGAAATTCACTACAAAGTTGTATACTGAATGCCCCCAAATGATTAGAATTTCAGGAATTGCAGTGGAAATGGCAAGAAACCGCACAGCCAACAGAACCGTGCACGACAGTATGTTACCGAACCAAGCACACCAGGCCCACCTGCCCGAGGGGCAGCAAAGCCAAATGCTGGCCTCAGGACGCAGTGAGAGAAAGCAGTGCTCACTGCAGGGGCCGGGCGAGGGGCACGGGTGGCTGACACCCCAGGTCCCCAGCTCGCCGTGGGCTTGCAAGCGGGGTTTAAAGGCAGAGCTACAGGAAGGGGCGCGGGGCGTGTGGCCGGCTCACCGGTCCTCCTGACTGTGGGTGGTGCGGTGACGGGCTGTTTCAGGAGCCTTAGTCGGCAGTCCTCGGGCCCCACCCAGTCCTGGGTCTGCGTGCTTGTGCCCAGGAGGTGGCCCCCCCGGTGGGGGTCTAGGTTCCTGCAAGACGCCTCAAGGACGCACGAGTCAGGAGTTTACCTCGGGCCTTGAGTGGAGCCCGGGTGCAGGCCTGTTAGTTTGCTTCAGCCTGGTGAGCCGATTCCCGTTCTCCCGTCTGTCCCCGCGCAGTCTGATCCCTGCGCTCTGGTCACCACCGAGGGACCCGGCTGCTCTGTGTAAGGAAAAGTGGGAGGGGCTTCGTCCCAAGGGGCTCCCCGTGTGGCTACAAGTAGATGGCATGGATGCCTTAATATCAAAAGAATTTTAAGCCCATGTCTAAATTGATAAAGGTAATTCACTACAAGGACATGTTTAGCTAGAGCTAATATGTGCTATCTGGTAATGGGAGATGAGTAAATATTTGCAAATTTAGAAACACAACACTAAATTCTGTCTGATATTTAGAAAACAGACCACTTTCCATAAGGACAAATGGATTTCAGCTTTGTGAATTCCAGGGTTTAATAATTAAGAAAACAATTTAGTACTACATTAAGGAACAAAAAAATGATACACAAAATGAGAACTTGCATAAAGAATTTAATGGATGACTAAAAGAAAAGTAAAAATGAATTCATGCATTCTTAAGGTTGCTCTAACTAAAAGAGATGAATAAGATAAAGGAAAACTGAAGGATTAATAAAGAAACATAATAGTCTGAGAAGTTAACACTAACCTGTTAATTCTTCCATTATGAACTGAGAGCAAAACATTTAAATCATATTTAAGCTCTGGCACTAAGGGCTTTCTAAGGAAAAATATGATTCCCTTCTGTGCAGAAGGACAGCACCCAAACAGTTCTAATGGCAGCTAAAAAAAATTCACAGGGACGATGTACAGGTGATGATGGGCTCCAGTAACCTGCCCTTCTACTCCATTAAGACAAATGAGGCCCTGAGCTGTAGTCACAGGCATCTGCCTCTACATGGGACATGGGAAAATTAATTTCTAATCATACCTGTTTCCATTCCCTTTCTCTTCTGATCTTAAACCACCCCCTATACTTCTATACTTCTAAGAATTACACTGGATATATGTGCTTGTATCTATCTCTATTTAGGGTTATCTAATAGTGTTTGATTAAAATAACAGTTGAATCACATAGCCTTATGCTTGTGTAAGGACATTGTGGTTTTCAGAACCCTCCCTTGTACATTTCCATTTGGTGGAAAATACATAACAAATCACATTTTAAAGAGGCAAGTGCATCAGCAGCTGTACTTCATTAGGACAGCTGCACACATGTCTTCCCTGAGTGTCAGGCCAGCAGAGGAACACTCGATTTTCTTAGCTGTTACCAAGTTCCTTGTTTTTAATCCCAAAAAACACTGAATGGATGATTAAGTGTCCTTGCAAATCACATAATTATCCCCAACGAATATTCTCACATTGACGTTTCTAGGAGTAATTAACCCAAAACCCATTCCCTGATCATAAGCCTGAAGAACTGCATTGCAGAGCCAGTGGGTGTGTTGTTATCAATTTGGGAGAGAACCAGCATTTCTCACTTCACCAACCAGGTGGGGCCAGCTGCCGGTCCTTTACCACCTCTCCCAGATGCTACTGCTCCAGTGGAGTCTTCCCTGTGGAAGCCCGCCTGGCCTTAGGTGTCAAGACCCAGCGTCTAACCAGAGTGCCCCTCCCAGGCAGGGTGACTGATCAGGCACTTGAAAATTGCAGTCCCGCGGGGCTGGGGTTAAGCTGGGCCCCCCATCCTCCTCTCCCTTCTCTCTCCTCAGTGTCCCCTTCCTCTGCACAAGCAAGAGGAAAGCCAGAAGGCATTGTCATCATGCACTGAGCTGCTCTGTGTTGTCACGTTCATGGTCCTGGAGCCTCCAACAGGGGTTAGAGCAGGAGGACGACACAGTTTGGAGGCAGCCAGAGCTGGTTCAAGTCTTGGCTTGCAAAGGGCACGTTCCACAAAATCATCATTAATGACTCAGAGATCTCGGTATCATTCTCCCTCATTCTGCAGGAACCAGAGGCTCAGAAGGTTTGGGAAGTGCCCCCAGATAACCTGTCAGGTGACCTGGATGCAAACAGGTCTGCTGACACTATGCTCTTCCCACCACTGCCAAACGCCAGTGGGACACGTTTCTCGGAGGCTGGTGCCTTTCACATTCTTTAACAAAGATGGTTCTACCAGAGAAGCACAATGTTCTCAACCTGCAGTTTCCTTCCATGAGAGAGTACCGACCAGCGAATGGGAGCTGCAGTCCCCCGGCTGCAGGACTGCAGTGTCAGCGAGGAGGAGATGACCTCCCAGCACAGGCCATGCTTCACTTCTCTGACCTTACAAGGTTAAGGTTGATCTTGCTCAGTCGTTATGTCTGATCTCTTTTGATCTATGCTTAGTGGACTTGCAAATGTCCCCAAGAGTCTTGAGTCACAGAGCCACCTGCAGAGTATTACAGTGGTGTGTATTGTGGTGGGGGCTTCCAGGGTCCCAGCAGTGATTGTAAGTGGGAATCTCCATCAAGCAGTTTGTCAGAATTCACTGTCTGTACCTTCTGAACTTTGGATGTCAGCATGTGATGATATCTAATGAGATAAACCCCTGCCTCCTTTAAGTTTATGAAATGCTTCATTAATTTTATGGTGACAGAACCTCTCACTTCTAAAAGGCAGGTCAGGTTATTTGAATTCTGCATCATCTGGAAGTAGCATATTTAGCTGCCTCAATTGGATTGAAATCAGAGGCTGATCAACAAATGAATCCATTCTGGATTTACCAGTCCACGAGGAGGAATGCTTTGGCCAGCGAGTCTGATGGAGGTCACAGGTGACCAGCTGCCCTCGCGTCTTGGCGGCTGTGTCCGCGCATCACCAGACAGCTCTCCACCTGCGTCCCAAAGGAAAAGGGAACATGTGGGCACCGTTTTCATGGTATCTGTGTATTCTGTACTATTAAGATCTCTAGTCACCCGGAGCTCCCAATGTCCTGGGTTTGGACCTACCACAGCATCCTTTTCTCAGCTGCCTTCATGTGAACCCCAGTCTCCAAGGACACCTTTAATGACGGGGAATTCACATACTGGTAAAACTCCCCACCTCTTGTTCCATTCGAGAGACGCCAGCTGGCATCAGTAGAGGAGGGGTGGTTCTTTTATGTAAAGAGTCCCATTTCCTTATCTACGCGGTGGGGGGCCTGTCGCTAGAGGAAGTCAGATTTCCTGGGAGACTCAGGGCAGGTTCTGCCCTTCATCTCCTTTTCTGACAAACTTCCCCTGCCCCTTTTTCCTTGCTACTCATTTTAGGACAGACCCGCCTTTTGTTTTGATAATCATGCTTAGTGGTGCCTTGACTGGACTCTCGGTGGGTGTCCAGGACCCTGGTGTTGGGGAAGGCCTTTCACAGAGAGACAGGATGCCAAGAGTACTATGAGGACAGGAGCCAGCTCAGCTGACTGTGTCTAAGACGGGGAATTTTGACGTGGTAGTGACTTTGTTAGACTCTTGTTTATGATGCCAATGCATCAGCCATTTCTTAAAATTACATGTGCTGCAATTTGAAAAAAACTCTCTGATTCAGTTGGTTCAATGTATTTCAAATAATCTCAAACCTCTGATTCACTTCCGACTGAAATGCTTATTAAAATTAGGCATGTAGTTTGTGTTTTTAACCTCCAGTGTGCATCATGCAATGTCTGAGGATATTTTTCTTTCAAATGAAAATACTCATCTGATTCACAGTTTCAAAAGTCTTAAAACTGGCTTATAAACCAAACTCTCTTATACATTCCCAATAATATTCTCTTCACTGTCTACAGACATTTCTAAGGCTTAAACTTCATTAGTTTAGTCATCAGGCTTAGAACGAGTGGCATCGCTAGCAGCCTTGCCCTGACTGCGGATGCGAAGCCATCCATTCACACGTGCACTGGTGCAGTCAGCAAACGTCTGTGGCTACAGAGCTGCACCTCAAACTTCCTAAAGCCACATGGGAGGATACAGAGACTTTTGGTTAATTCTCTCTCTCTGCAAATTAAACAGTGAAATACTAATAGCACTGTCCCTTCACGTGAAGCATGTTTAGCGACGTTTAAGCATTGCGGCTGGTTGGCATGTGGTACCTGTGTGCATCTCAGCCGAGGAACCAAGTATCTCAGTCCAGCACCTCT